CAATAAAATATGTGACTACTTGTTTTAAAGCTCGTTTGAACTTGAAAATGCTCTCGTTTCTCCCAAAGGATGAACTAGGTATATTGCTAAGGTCTTAACGGACGTCCATGAAAAATTTCGATTGTTTCAAAAATTGCGGTTCACAAAAAATCAATGAGCTATAACACATGAAAACCGGTAAAACCTGCGATTACCTACCTTGAAGCTCGTTCGAACTTGAAAATGTCCTCATTTTCTCTGTGGGATACACTGTTACATTGCTAATGTCTTCACGGGCATCCACGAAAAATTTCAGTTATTTTGTTTTTGAGAATTTCGGATCACAAAAAATTTATGGGTTATAGCTCACGAAAATCAATAAATTTTGCATTTATTTGCTTTGAAACTCTTTTAAACTTAAAAATATCTCTTTTTCCTGTGGGACGAACTAGTACATTGCTAAGGTCTTGACAAACATTGATTAAAAAATTTGGTTATTTTGTTTTAAAAAATCTGGATCACAAAAAATTCATGGACAATAGTACATGAAAATCGATAAAATCTGCATTGACCTGCTTTGAAGCTCGTTTGAATTTGAAAATGCATCTGTTTTCCCCGCGGTATGAACTATGTACATTGCTAAGGTCTTAATGCACGTCCATAAATTTTTTTGCTCATTTTATTTCAAAAATTTTTGATCACAAAAATTCATAGACTATGCGTTTATCTACTTTGGAGCTCGTATAAACTTAAAAATGTTCTCATTTTCCCCGCGGGACGAACTAGGTACATTGCGAATGTATTAACGGACGTCTATGAAAATTTTCGACCATTTCAATTCGGAAAATCTGGATACGTAAGACAAAAAATTACATGTAGGACATGTGTGTCTGTTTGTTCAACTTTATACAAGTTTAAGTGTATATTTGTGCACATCCAAAGTTGAAGAGCATAAATGTGATTTGAAGCCAAGTTAGAGGACGCATTTATGTATTATGCCGATAAAATTTTAAGCTATGAGTATAAATAAAAGAAAATCATATTGAAAGTAGATATAAGTTTCTTCGACTTGAATTGGGTTAAAACCCAAATCAATAGCAGCCCAAGCAAATAATTGATATGTACACGCAAACCTAGGGTAAAATATACGTAGATCTTACCCCTACCTTGACAGGTAGAGAGTTTGTTTACGATAGACCCTTAGCTCATGAAAAGCAAAAACACAAGAAGCAGTAACAACAGAACCCACAGGAATCAACCAAAAAGAGAGAGAGAGAGATGGAGAAGTTCAACATTTATTTCTGAACTGAAAGCAAGTTGTACATTCTTGTTTGTCTTAAAGGTTAAGCTTAATAATGTAAAGAGATTATACATCGAAAGCAACTGGTCATGGAGAGAGATCTTGTAACGACTCACTCGCTCATTCCACCTCCAAGAATTCACGTTCTGCAATGGCAGTCGCCCACACAATTACTTACAGCTCCCTCGTCATTGTGCTTCATCACGTTTGCAGGATTTAAACCCCATATGCGAATGGTCTGATCATCACTTCCTGATGCCAGCATATGAGGATTTGCTGGGTTCCAACTAACACAGTTGACAGTCCCAGAATGTCCAGCTAACTTCCGGAGGAGTTGTTGTGAACATCTGTCCCATATATATACCTGAAATATGGTATTAGATCAAGATCACTTTCTCTCCCCCGGAAATAACATTAAGAAAGTATTCTTTCCACGACAATAAAGATGTCAAAGCATTAAACAAAGGAAAAAAAAACGCAGGGCATTGTCACAGGCTGGTCTTGAACCTTATTCTTTGATTGTTGATTAAAAAGAGGGAAGGTGAAAAAAAACAAAGGAAGTTCTATCCTGGTCATGAAAACGCTGAATTTGGGGTCAAAAACCATCTGAAAAGACGCCTGTCTAATTTGATGATAGTAGAATTGTCAAATTGCTTGAATGTGCAACTAAGCATACAAATCATAACAACAAAAAGATTTGGTTTCTCAATCAACGAAAGAAGTACCTGTGAATCCTCACTTCCACTGGCGATGAAAGCTTGACGAAGTCCACCAAAGCAAGGTTTTATGATGAAGCGTTCTTGCTTATGGCCTTTATAAATGTGTACGAGTTTTATAACCCCATCTATACTCCAGAGATGGATTTCTTGATTCAACAGACTTACCAATACGTATTTACCGTCTGGGGACAATACAAATGAAGTTATTACTTCATCCTCTACAATTATTTTCTCTGTTTTTGATTCCAATCCAACTAACAGTATCACATTATTTTTACAAAGAGAGACCATCTGTTTCCCATCACTTGTTATCCCCAAATCAGCTATTTTAGTAATCCGATGGCCTTTCCAACACCGCAGCTCTTTCCCTTGAAGATCCCACATGCTAATGCTTTTGTTAGTAACACCGCAAAATATCCTTTCCCCATCTGGAGCCCATCCACACGAAATAAAACCAAGACCATTTTTCTCATAAAGACGTATACACTCACCGGAGTCTACATCCCACAGTCTAACGACCTCTTCCAGGCCACAGGTGAGAAGCTGACTATCATCAGGGCTCCATGATACAAAGCACACAGGCTCCTCATGACCAATAACTTTGTGCTTCAAGCATAACCTTCCATCCAACTTCACCTGCAGAAGGGCAAAATAATTGAGAGGTCAACATAAATCGTCAGTCAAATCTACCATTAAAATTTAGTTTTTCAGCAATAACAGCTCACTTTTCCCTTGTTCTCTGAACTACCTACCCCTGGGAAAGAGAACCAGAAAACCCATCTGTTTAGATCTTTTACCAAAATCATATACACCTATAGCAGGATTCTTTAGGTCGGAGAATGAATGTTACACAATGTTTAAATGGTATTGTAGGATAAAATATGAATAAATTGAGAATCATTTGGGAAGCAAGACTTGATCATAAAGATGTATTGGTAAAAATAGCTGAGGATATGGTTATCTCGTTAAGACTAACATGGGAAAGAACACAATCAGAAAGGAATAAGGAAAGATAGCTAGTGTGATGACGAAAAAGAAAGAAGTTGGTATTGTTAGAGTTCTAGAGCGGAAGAGGAGCTACTCTCACTAAAGGTTTATCAGTAATAGAAATGGACAAAGGACTTTCTACTGTCATACTAAAGATACATCAGTGGAATCTACAAAAAAGAAACATTTCATTTGTGGCACAGCATGGAAAAGTGAAGCAAAAATAGTGCAACTTTTTTCTGAAATTATTAGTTAAAGGATAAAGATCATGCAAGAAAATTATGGCACCGGGTGCAAAGAGAGAAGAAATTCAATGGAGAAAAGTTTAATTAAAATAAATAATAAAGGATATAACAAGCATTAGTCAAGAGGACCTTTGATAAAGCAAAAATCTGTTGAGCAATACTTAAGAGCAATTAAACTTACCTCCCATATAATTACTGAACAATCAGCAGATGACGAGGCCAAACACTTCCCGTTATGAGAGAACTCCAAAAACCAGACTTCATCTTTGTGTCCTTCTAATATCTGGTGCACGACAAACAATGAAGAAAGGATTAGAGCTCAGCGTGATCAATAAACCCCTCTCTTATTTCTTTTACTCTCAGCTTTCAATAATTGACTAAACCCCTTCATTCTCAAAAACCAAAAAAATGATCTAAGCCCTTCTACCAATCATAGTCAAATTCAATGATATTATTGTTGGAAGAAGGAAAAAAAGCCTGTGTATGAGGAATACATGCAATCAAGCTCTATACAAGGACACTACAAGAAAAACTCAAACCAAGTCGTCACATATCAAACTTTTCTGCATAATCTGCAAGGACGGGGAAATACATGGGCATACATCCTTTTTGATATCTACGGAAGATAATCAACAACCCACTTCGACAGGTCTCATTCAAATCTAGAACATCTAAACCATGAATCCAATATGAAAGAATGAAGGAAAAGAACAATAAAGTGGAATAACTGTGTAGTTCTCATCTATCGGCACTGTACACGTAGTTTACTATATGAATCTTGGACTTCACATTTTCCCTCCATTCCAGCAAAGGCAAGGAAGGAATATTACAGTATCGTAGAAGGATTATCGTTGAGTAGACAGCAATATGCCTAGACTTCTATCACAGACACAAAAGAGGTCTAGAGTAGATAAAATTTGATAAATTCTACTTATTCCTTATACACATACTTGTACTTTTGCTGAATAAAATATAGGAAAAACACAATCGACACAATGACAGCATAACCAAATATGGAATAACCAAAATTTTACACAATAGAAAGCACAAACTCAACACTTCATCAACACATCACCTCAGACATATCACTGATATATAAACTTAAACACAGATGGAATAAGTTATAAGGTGATTAATAATGCAATTGACAGACAACCAATCCTGGAATGATAATGCTTGCAGGTTAAACAAGTATCAAGACTCAAATATGATCTAACCTGCAAAGTCTGAGATGGAATCTTATCTATTCCA